ATAAAGCCTCAAAACCTCTGGCTGTAAAAATCGGTGGGTGTTGTGGCAGCTAGAGAAGCTACCAGTCTCACAGGAGAGTCTGTTAGAGTTTTGTGTACTAGAATGCACACAGGCCCGCCCACTGGGGAGTCAACACCAGAGCAACATCTAAAGGGGCACAATTCACTTGTAGGAAGTGGGGGAAGTGACTGAAAGCAGGACAAGAGCCAAGCAAGCAGGATTGTTCCATCTCTAACCCCTCCTGCACATAAAGTGCCACAACACAAAGGAGTGGGTTGTCCTGCCCTGGCAAATACCTAAGGCTTTGTCCCTTACAATGTGACAGGTGCACCAAGACAAACAAAGATGGCCCAAATGAAAGAACAGATCAAAATTCCACAAAGAGAACTAAACGACAAGGATATAGCCAACTTATCAAATGCAGAGTTCAAACACTGATAATCAGGATGCTCACGGAAATGATTGAGCATGGCCACAAAATAAAGGAAGAAGTGAAAACCATACAAAGTGAAATAAAGAAAAATATACAGGGAAGCAAAAATGAAGGGGAAGAAACCAGGACTTAAATCAATGATCTGGAACAGAAGGAAGAAACAAACATTCAACCAGAACAGAATGAAGAAACAAGAATTTTAAAAAATGAGGAGAGGCTTAAGAACTTCTGGGACAACTTTAAACATTCCAACAACTGAATCATAGGGGTGCCAGAGGAGAAGAGGAAGAGCAAGAAACTGAAAACTTATTTGCAAAAATAATGAAGGAAAACTTCCCTAATCTGGTTAAGGAAATAGACATACAAGTCCAGGAAGCTCAGACAATCCTAAGTAAATTGGACCCAAAGAGGAACACACCAAGACACATCATAATGAAATTACAAGATTAAAGATAAGCAGAGAACCTTAAAAGCAAGAGGAAAGGAGAGAGTTACCTGCAAAGGAGTTCACACAAAATTATTAGCTGACTTCTCAAAAGAAACCTTGCAGGCACAAAGGGGCTGTAAGTATTCAAAGTCATGAAAGGCAAGGACCTACATCCAAGATTACTGTCTCCAGCAAAGCTATCATTCAGAATGGTAGGGCAAATAAAGTGCTTCCCAGATAAGGTAAAGTTAAAGGAGTTCATCATCACTAAGCCCTTATTATACAAAATGTTAAAGGGACTTATCTAAGAAAAAGAAGAAGTTCAAAACGATGAACAGTAAAATGGCAACAAACTCACAATGATCAGTAACTGAACCTAAAAAAAAAACAAAACCAAAAACAAATGACGCAAACAACTAGAACAGGAATAGAATCACAGAAATGGAGATCTCATGGAAGGTTATCAGTGGGGAGGGGGTGGAGGGAGACTAGGGGAAAAGGTACAGGGAATAAGAAGCATAATTGGTAGGGGCAAAATAGACAGGGGGATACTAAGAATAGTATAGGAAATGGAGAAGCCAAAGAACTTATATGTACAACCCATGGACATGAACTAAGTAAGGTGTGTGTGTGTCTAGGTATATAGGGGATGATCCTGGAGGGAATGGATGTACCAGGCAGAGGGGGATAAAGGAGAGAAGAAAAAGGGACAACTGTAATAGCATAATCAATAAAATATACTTAAAAAAAAGTTAGTTTAGCTCTGGTTTGGTGTGGTTCAGTGGACTGAACACTGGTCTGGAAAAGGTTCCTGGTTCAATTCCTGATCAGGCAGGGTACATGCCTTGGTTTCAGGCCAGGTCCCCAGTTGGAGGTGAGAGGCAACCAATCAATATATCTCTTCCTCTCTTCTTCCTCCCTTCTCCTTCCCCTCTCTCTAAACATAATAAATAAAATCTTAAAAATAATTATTTCAGGAAACAATGAAAACCTGGTACCCATCAGAAAAATAAAAATAGCTACTCTTGTTTGCAAGAGCTTTTCTTTTTAAATAGTCTCTCGGTATTTTCTGTTCTTTGTGTGTGCCAGGCAGGGTTCTGTGTTTTTGGTTGGGAAACTCTTCCAAAACATGACAAGCTACTTTTAAAAACAAATATTTTTTAAAAATCCAATGTTCACTTGCCCTCTATTGGTATCTCAGTCAGAGTGTAGTCCCAATATGCCAAGCTTGTGGGTTGGATCCCCAGTCGGGGCACATGCAAGAATCAACGAATGAATGTATCAATAAGTGGAACAACAAATCAATATTTTACTCTCTCTCTATAACTGATAAATAAAAAATAAATCAATTGTGTATAGCACAACTCATATTTTTACCATTTTATTTTAGATGCATGTTCCAAATTCCTTCTGACACTTAGCTGAGAAAAGATGGTTTGGGGATATAACTGTTGTCTTGAAAGGCCTGAATAGATAACATTTTATGAACTTATATTCCTCCCTTTAATTTATTATAGTTCAACAATTTATCCCTAGTTTGAGAAGATGCTTGTTTGATTCTGCCATTTCTGTTCCTAAGTAAATAATAATTCCCAAGTAATGAGAAAATGCATATAAATGTCTTTTGGATATGGTAAGACACTATGTACAAAAACAAGGACTTATTTTTTATCCACTTGGAAAGTATTTTTGATACCTGTTTTTAAGTGTCCTCTTTTTTAATTTTTTTTTTTTTAAGATTTTCATTTATTTATTTTCAGAGAGAGGGGAAGAGAGGGACAAAAACATCGATGAGTGGTTGCCTCTCATGTGCCCCCCTACTGGGGATCTGGTCCACAACCCAGGTATGTGTCCTAACTGGGAATTGAACCAGTGACCCTTTGGTTCAACAGGCTAGTGCTCAATCCACTGAGCCACACCAGGCAGGACTTCAAGTATCCTCTTCAAGGGCAAAGATTACTTCTTTGGCTCTGTCCCACAGCATGGTGAGGTGTGGCTGAAATATGGTGAGATATGGATGCAAAATTCTCTAATTTGGACAGAACAGGAAGAAGTGTGTGGGTCTCTTCCCTTTTGTGGCCATTGCAGAGGTGCCAGCAGTCAGAATGAAGTTCAATCCCTTTGTGACTTCTGACTGGAGCAAGACCCATAAAAGGCATTTCAATGCACCTTTCCACATTCGCAGGAAGATTATGTCTTCTCCTCTTTCCAAAGAGCTGAGACAGAAGTATAATGTTTGATTCATGCCCTCCGAAAGGATGATTGAGTCCAGGTTGTGCGCAGACATTACAAAGGACAGCAAATTGGCAAAGTAGTCCAGGTTTATAGGAAGAAATATGTCACTATACTGAACGAGTGCAGTGGGAGAAAGCTAATGGTACAACGGTTCATGTGGCATTCACCCCAGTAAGGAGGTTATCACTAGGCTAAAGCTGGACAAAGACCACAAAAAGATCCTTGAATGTAAAGTCAAATCTCGCCAAGTAGGAAAGGACAAGGGCAAATACAAGGAAGAAACAACTGAGAAGATGCAGGAATACTGTAATCTTACATACAGCTTTCATTAAAAACTTGAAATGAAAAAAGAATCTCTAATTCAGTGATTCTTAACCATTTATTTACTTTTTATTAATAGGGTTTTTTAAAGGTTTCAGATTTAAAGAAAAATTGAGTAGACGGTACAGAAAGTTTCCATATACATCTCCCCCAGTGCCCTCTATTATTAATATCTTACATTAGTATATGTTAGTGAACCAATAGTTACATTGTTATTAACTCAAGTCCCTCTTTATTCAGATTTCCTTAGTTTTTTGCCTAATTTTTTTTTCTATTCCAGGATCCCTTTCAACTTTAAACTTATGTTCAGTTGTCATGTTATGTCCACATTTCAATTACTCTGTCTCCTTAGGCTCCCTCTCCAATGTGATATTAACCTTCATATTTTGGGTCATGAACAGGATTGAAAATCTGGGCTGCAAACTATGGATCCTCTCCAAAGAAAAGTGCACGTTTCAAATGTCTAATTTAAGGGAGGTCCACCCATAGCCAATTTAGAAGCCCTGCTTTAGGAGGAACGGATGATCTTTAAAACATCCCCTTCCCCCACATTTGGGTTGAATCACGTTCTACCTCTAATGTATTGTGACCTTTTTGCAAAGTTTTCCCCCCGCTTTATGTGGGCCTCAATTTCACCGTCTGTACAATGAAGGCATTGTTTTAGCGATGGTACAAAAGGTGGGCGCCACCCCGACTTGTCAACAGCTGAGGAACAAAGACTAATAACATAATAACGTTAAGACCAAGTCAGGTCAAGCCCGGGAAGTGATGGGTTTATCAAGAAGGAGGTTGCAGTTTCACTGGGGCGCGAGGGGAGGGGGGCGGGGGCAGACACAACCTGGGTTCCACTTTGTCTTTGTGGACTTTGTAAGTCATTTCCTTCCCCTGGGCTTCAGTTTCCTCGCCTGCAAAAGTGAGGGGCCCCTGCTTCTGGTAGTTACGAAACTCCTGGGAGCTACAGCTGAGAATGTACGTAGTAAGATACAGTGTGATGACTTATGATAAGAAAGAACATGGAGAAGGTGGGTAGGTGCAAGGGTGAAGGGCGGATCTGAGGGATGTGAGACAGGCTGAGATCCAGGTAGAGGAAACTAGTACACATCGCAGCTCCCTGGCCACACGTGTACGTTGCTGGGCTTAATTCCCCATTGCCGTCCCGCCTCCGCCACACCTTCCTTCCCCTCCCTGAGGCTATGACGCGCCACACTTCGCATGGCAGCCACCAGCACGACGCTTTTCCAGCGAGCCAGGGCCACGCGCGCTCTCGCGCCGCCACCTCACTCCTGTACCGCCCCGCCTTTGGTCTCTCCCGATTGGCTCATCTCGTAAGTGACGTATTCGACCCGTATTCCACTTCTCCTTCACTTCTCCCCCGCTCCGCCCCGCCACCTCCTAGCTTCCACTGACACGAATCGAAAGCAAACATGCCCTCTTCTCAGCTGCGCGGGAGAGCCGGGATAGCAGGAATAGCCGGCTAAAGCAGGAAGGCGCTGGCTATGGCGCGCGCGCGCGCACGCACGCACGTATGCAGGCACGCACGCCAATGGCCGGCGGGGCGGCAGGCTCGCGCCCGGACTCGCCCTGCGCCGCGCCAGAGGCACGCGCACTCAGCAGATTGGGCTGCGGCGGCGGCAGCTGTGGGGAGCTGAGGCGTTCCGTGTCAAAGGTCCCAGACGTCTGCGGCTCCGTCTCCGCCACCCTCAGCCTCTCACCTCAGTATCCGTGCCGGGTGTTGAGAACGAAACGGCGCCAGCCTTGGGAATCCAGAGCACACCGCTTGGCTTCTTCCGACACCGCCCTCCTTCCCTACCCAGCTTGGGCCTCGTTCTGTGCTAGGCGACTCCGCGGGGAGGCGGCGGCGACAGTTGCTTGTCTGTGGAGAAGAGTCCTGCCCCACAGCCTTGCTCCGCCGCCGGGCCCTGCAGGGGCCGAGAAAGCTCGGCACCCGTTCTTCCTCTCGCCCTTTTCGTCAACCGGTTGGAACAGCGTCGGTCCGGGAGGTCTCTGAGCTGAGGCGGCGGTAGCTCCTCCAGCTCCATCATGTCCGCGGGCGGAGACTTCGGGAATCCGCTGAGGAAATTCAAGCTGGTGTTCCTGGGGGAGCAAAGCGGTGAGTGGTTGCCCCACTCCTGGCAGCTGGCCGCGGCTTCCCCGCACCGCCCCCAGTGCGGCTGTTCGGTCCGCGGAAGCTCTCTGCCGGCCTCGCCTTTGCTCTCGTTTTCCCCCCAGCCTTTCCCCGGGTTCGCCGACCCCTCTTAGCCAGTTTCTCTTTGCCTTGATCGATCCGTTGGTCGGATTTTGACCTTTTCGTCCCCGACTCCGGCGTCGGCGTCTCCTTTCTCCGCAGCCCGGCCCTCTTCCGTCGATCTCTCCCCTGTAGTCCACACCCCGCCCAGCCCCAGCCTCCTGTCCATCCCTTTCTTTCTCCTGTCTCTGCCGTCTCACCCACCCCAGCCCCCTTCCTTGAGCCCCACCCTTATTCCTTCCTCTTATCCCAGTTTGTCAGCTCTTTGAGGCCCACCGCGGCAAGTCCCATTCCAGGGAACGGGAAGCCAGCCCTCTTCAACCTTGGGCAAGGAGGGTGGGATCTGGGCGTTGTTTTCCCCGGAGGCTTGGCCCGGAGAAGTGCGAATAATGGAAGTGGAGGGTCGTGTAAAATTCTTGAATGGTTTTCACCTGAGTGGGGAATTAGTCTGGGTTATAGAGGATATGTATCTGATTTGAAGGCGACTGGAGGATGGAGTGGTTGGTGGTGGGGGTGAGGGGTGGTGGCGGAGACAGTGGTGATATTTGCCCCTTGGGTTGGGCTCTGGCTTATTGGAAAACCTCATTTTCTTCACTTGACTTTCATCCTTGACAATTCTTTTGGCAGTGTTGATGCTTTGCCGATCTCTGCCAGATGCTATGTCATGATCATTTTACTTGAGATTTTTCACATCTCACCTCTCCTTTCAGCATGAAGCAGTGTCTGATTCTCCTCATGGTGGTGCAAACAGGAATTACTGGGAATATGTTAATTATTCCATTTCTTCTTGAGTATTTTCCAAATATATATTCTATGATGCCTGTGAGAGGAGGCTTGAAAATAATGAACATCTTTGTTTGGAGCATTTCCTTGGGAGTTAGCGGGTATTGGAGTAGAGTAGGAATTGATTCATCATCTAGTTTTCTAAATTAGATTTAAATATGTAATACTGCTTCAGCTAAATGACTCTTTTATGCTTAATATTTCATAGTATCTGATAAGTGAAATTGTTATCTCATTTAGTTGGTCAGGCTTCTGCAGCCGCCTGTAGTTAGTATTAGATACAAGATCCTAATTTTGTGATGGCTGGCTTTAAAATTACTTTTTGTTGTAATTCCAGTTTTATGCTGTATTATGAAGACTTGATATCTGGCAATTTAGAGATTTTCATCCTTTGTCTTTCTTCTACTTTTCATGACCATTTTTAACATTCAGTCATTGAGAGATTAGTTTCTCCCAAGTCATCAAACATTGAGTTACCCACTGTTCATCTCAGGTTAAATTATAGCAAACATTTGTTATCTTTTGATTGGAAAGAAGATAACTGATATAAGTTCAGAGCTTGAACTACTTACACTGATACTAACTAGGTTAGTACTAGTTGCAGAATTGCTTCCAATTGGACCTGAGAAGTTATTTTTCTCCTTTCATACATCATCGTTCCCCTCCCCCACTTACCGAGGAAAAATGTAGTCATCTCTTTGCTTATGAATTTTCCTGAAGTATAGGCTTGTTTCTTTAACTTGGTAAGACCTATGTAATTGACCCTGTTTCAAGTATTTCATGGCAATTTGAGGACAGTGCTATATGTAAAATATAGCCTATTGGTTGTTATTGATAAATAGGATCTAAAATACCTATTGTACACTCTAGGGATGTTATTGCCTGCCTTGTGTTGTCATGCAAAGCTATTTGGTTTACTAGAAAAATCCATTGATATTTGTCCTAGAAAGATTTTAGTATGAGTGGAGACTATACTAGTATTTGCAGGTTTCCTTTGAATTTCTCAAGTATTTATGTTCTAATTCACATTACAGTGTCATGGGTTCTCATTTCCTTAAGTCTTTAACTCCTCTCCTTCCCCATTCCTGGAGTTACCTTAGATTTTTTTTTTTAGATAGACTTTATTTTATGGAACAGATTTAGATTTATAGAAGAATTGAGAAGATCATGCAGAGGGTTCCCATTTAGCCCCACCCAGTTTTCCCAATTATTAATATTTTACATTAGGATGGCACATTTGTTGCAATTAATGAACTAATGTTAATATATTATTAACTAAAGTCCATAACTTATTCAGATTCCTTCGTTTTTATCTTTTTCTGTTTCAGCATTTATTTCAGGATTACACATTACATTTAGTTGTCCTGTCTTCTTAGGCTTTTTTTAGAATTATTTTAGGATTGTTTATATTCTTTTTAACTCTATGGAACTGTGAGGTTCATATCTTTTGAGGCTACTATATTTCTAAACAATGCCATCTAATAGGTTTGACAATGAAAGATTGATCGTTGTTTTTATGGGCAGTGTCATTTTCTTGTACATTAGCAAAGGTCTGTAGGATCCATGTCATCTTGATGTAACTCTTCATGAATTATTTATCTTCAGGTTTTAGAATTCCACAATTCAGCTTTCAAAGACTAATCTGTGGCAAAGCTTGTCTCCTTAATAGAATTTCCACATTTATAATTCTTATTTTTTATGTTTGTTTTTGTCTGTTTTCCACAGCAGAATACAAGTCGCATGAAGGTTAAAAACTATTAGTTTTTGGTTCATTGTATCCCCAGTACCTAGTATAGTGCCAAGGTTGTAGTAGGTACTCAGAAATATTTGGTGAATGAATGATGGTTGAATTTAAAAATAACCAAAGCTAGTAGCTTCTACTGATGTTTGCTGTGGAGAGGTAGACATTTCTTCCTCACGCGGTTAATAGTTTAACAATAACATTTTATGCTTATATTATTTGAGTTTATGCAGGGGTACTGCAAATGCTCAGAGGGGCAGGGAACCCAATAATTTATAACCTTCACCATTTCACTAAAAAAAGAAAAAAGAGAAAAAAGAAAAGGACTGGCCAGGATTTTGCACTTTTTTTGAGTTGAGTAAAATTAGTTTTGTTTTGTTAAAATTATTGCTAAGTTACTTGCTATTAGTATAGCACCGCATACTATGTCACATGATATGTTAAAGACATGTTCAGGGAACTGATTTGAAGTAGACTGTTTTATTTAGCTTACAGATTTAAGGTTCGGCCCTGACCTGTGTGGTTCGATTGGTTGGGCATCCTCCTGCAAAGCAAAAGGTCACCTGGGTTGGACTTCTGGTTAGGGCACATGCCTGGGTTGCTGTTCCCTAAATCCGTCGCATGTAAGAAACAACCAGTTGATGTTTCTCTCTCATGTCGATGTTCTTCTCTTTCTCCTCCCCTTCTGCTCTCTCTCTAAAAACAAATAAATAAAATCTTTTAAAAAATTAAAAGTTCTGTGTTCTGTAATTAAGATAAGTTGTTTCAGTACATGAAGTTTCAGGTTGAATCAGTGACATCATTCTTGGTAATCTTCCTATGAACTTACAGTTTCTTTATATTTCACTAGTTTACATAGTTTAATAAAGGAATATTGAAATACACAATTTGAATCTGAAGTTTCTTTGAAGGATCTCTTTTACTACCTGTCGTTATTTCCTTGAAATGCAGAGGTACTTCTAGGAATGTCATTTTGATTTACAATAAAAGGCTGTTATTACAAATGTTGCAACTTACAAATTAAGAAATGTGATCTCAAGGAGAAGCACATACCTGACCTAGTACTCTAGTACTGCTTACTTTTCATGGTATATGACTTCTTTTTTTTTTTAATTCCAGAGAGAGAAAGAGAGAAACATCGATGTGAGAGAAACTTAGATAGATTGCCTCCCATATGCTCCTGTACCAGAGACCAGTCTGCAACCTAGTCATGTCCCCTGAACCTGTGACCTTTTGGTTTGGGCAACCACGTTCCAACCACCTGAGCCCACTGGCCAGGGCTACATCTGTTCTTTTAACTTAGAAAAGTATTTTACTGTCAGAGACCAGGAGTACTGAACAGTTTAGATTGGCTAGATCAGTGATCTTAAACTTTTTCTTAAGAGTTGGTTATATGCTAACAAATTGTTGAGGCATCTGGAGAGCTTTGTTTATGTGACTTACATCATTATTTACTGTATTGAAAGTTAACTGAGAAAATTTTTAAATATTTGGTTTACTTAAAAGTAATAGTATTAAGCCTATTACATGTTAATCAGATCATTTTTAAGGAAAGAGAACTATTTGCAAACAAAATTCAGTGACAGAGTAGCATTTTTTTTTTACGTATTTGCAGATTTCTTTAATATCTGATTTAGAAGATATCTGGAGTCTTAAAGCTGTTTCTGCATTCAGTCTGTTATAATATCACACATCATGTAGACTCTGGGAAACTCCATTGTATACCCATAGAAGAGTGAGAGTAGAAAAGCTAAATACCTTAATATTATGAAAACCGATATGTCTCCTAGAGCAAGGGACATAAAGGAAAGAATAAACAAATGGGACTTCATCGAAATAAGAAGCTTCTGCATGGCTAAAGAAAACATCAGCAAAATGAAAAGGGAACCAACCATATGGGAAAATATATTTGCCAGTGATACCTCGGACAGGAGGTGATCTCCAAAATATATAAAGAACTGAAATGACTCCACTCCAGGAAGACAAACAATCCAATTAAAAAAATGGGCAAAGGACCTGAAAAGACACTTCTCCAAGAAGGACAAACAGGGCCCAGAGACATATGAAAGGATGCTCATTAACACTAGCCATCAGAAATGCAAATTAAAACCACAATGAGTTACCACTTAACGCCAGTCAGAATGGCATCATAAAAAAACCAGCAAACAAAGGTGCTGGCGAGGTTGTGGAGAAAAGGGAACTCTAGTACACTGTTGGTGGGAATGCAGACTGGTGCAGCCACTGTGGAAAACTGTTGAATTTCCTCAAAAAGCTAAAAATGGAACTGCCTCTTGACCCAGCTATTCCACTGCTGGGATTATACCCTAGGAACCCCAAAACA